ACATCAAACTTGGTTGCAAAGGCCAAACCCGACCCAAATGCAGCTCACCACAGCTATGGAACCAAGCACCAGGTAACAGTCTGATGTCACTTTAATGTGGATGTGAAGCCACTAAGTGGACATAACACCAATGGACACTTAAAACCCATATGTGCAAGACCTTGGTGTGGTGGACACAATGGGCTATTTAGAATTTCCTACACAAAACCCCCCTCCCAGTCTCTGAACATGAGCTGCCTCTCAGCAGGCGGGATTGGGGCAGGAAGGTTGCACTTAACGGTTGGAGCCATGGAGCCCAGCGTCCTGAGGGCGTTGTGCTGAGGTGACAGCACTGCTTCCTCCCCTTACGCCAGCAGCGGTGTGTCCTCTCACCCGGGACCACGCTAAGGAAGAGATTCAGCGTTCTCTGGAGCCCTCGGCTGAGCTTAGGAGGCTCACACCAGCGACCACACGCAGGCAGGACAAGCCATTCGCTCCCTGCTGGCCATCAGGGGCACTGCAGGCTGCCCCTTCCCCAGGTGGCGGCAATGACTATCATACCTTGGGCTGTGGCAAATGACGCCACCCCTCACCCCTACCAGGCAACGCGCAGAGCTCTGGGGCCATTTTAGCCTTAGCCTTTGGCCTTTCCCGCAACCAGCAGAACACACAGACCCGGCAAGGAGGAGCCTGGGTAGCAGCTGGTCACAGTCAGAGTCATAGGCTGCATTAGTGTTCCTCCTGTCCTTGGCAAGGAAGAAGGCTCCCTACTGAAAGTTCTAGAACCCTGACTTGGTCAGCTACATCCTGTCCGTTTGGGCCAAATAGACTAAAGTCTCTGAGGCTGAACCCTAGCTGAGCCTGGACCTCCCAAGAAGGGGCACTATGCAACTGTCAGAGGTCTTGTCTGGGTGGAGGCTGGAGGCCCCTCCTTAGCTCCTCTATCCAGTACCTGTGGGGCGGGGCCTCTGCCATCAGCATCTTTTCCACATTCCCCTGATGTCCCCTGCCCTTTCTGGATTTACCCTGGCCTGTCAGAAAAATGTGTAGCCTCAGAGTCTGTTCTGCCAGCCTGGGCCCAGTGGACATTGGTGAGACACCATGACCAGGTGGTTCCTTCCTGGGTCACCTTTCCTACTGACATTAAAAGGGACATGATGGCTATTCCAAATTGCTTAAGGCTGGGGTATGGGCTATGCCAGGGCAGGTTTGAGGGGTGGAGTTTGGCCTGCCCTGGGTTTTCTTAGCTCCAGGACAGCTGGTGGAGGCCATGGATGTCTCCACAGACACTGCCCCTCCTGCCCATCCTGTCCTCATCTTCCCATTGGCCCGAGGAGGCTGAGTGCTGACTCCCAGAAAACCAGAGCAGGAAGTGACCACCCAGAAGTGGCCGTGGCCTGTGGGACTCTGCTTCTGTCTCTCATCTTGTTATGGATGAGTTTGGGGAGGCACCTACAGTA